TCAATTCAATTTGTTTAAACGCTCCGTAAATTCGAGTTGAATAGTAAAAATTTGGGGGCACAATTATAAAGTGTTGCTATTAGGGGATTTTTGGGGGGAATTGAGGACAAGGTGTTGCCTCCAAAAGTTTACGAGCCCTCAGGAATATTAAGACGTAAACCTCGATAAAAACTGCCACAAGACCAGACCGACTGCACGTAGGGGAGCAAAAAAATCATTAAGATGATTCCGCGAGCAGCTCAGGGTCACCCCGGACGCAAATGAGGGCCTCTCGGCCCCGCGAGGATGTGATTAATGACCCCGAGATGAAAAAAAAAATTGAATTGTAGTGGAATCGAGTGATTGAGATGCAAATGTCACCAGTGAATGATTATTCAAAAATTAACGCGCCCCAAACTCCACCGATTTTTCAACTTTCAATAATTTCCCCATAAATAATCAATATTTCCTCAATTTTTAATCCTCAAATCCATTAATTAATTAATTAATCGTAACTTATTCTAGATAATTGATGATTTTGTTGATAAGTTTATAATAATTAATTCTCCCCGATACATGAATCGATTGACTAATTTAAATTAGTTAAATTAATCAATTAGACAGAGATTAAATCATCAGTTAATGGAAATGATATTTTTTGGACTTTTTGTTGAAATAGCAGATTGCGTTTAGAGTGATATGTCGAGTTGAGCTGCTGTCGGCCTTGGGGAAACCAACACTGGCTAGGGAAAACCCTCTGGCACCAATTGCCTGTACCTCGATATTGCTCTCCCTTCGTAATGACGATGCGTGATATTGACCGTGGGGTTAATGAAGATCCGATAAACATTGGCTCCTACCTGAATTCTGGGTAAACACTGTACTCCATTATCGCTGCGATTCGCTTGTCTAATTATTGTCGCAAATTGTAGACATTAATTAATGATGAAACAATTACAATCCTTTATTTACTCTTTATATTCAGATAATTCCAGAAATTTACGAGACGAATAAATAATTTCAGTGATCAACCCGAGGAAAATATATTATTCTATATTCTATATTATAAGGATTAATATTAATGGAACTTACCCCCGCCATTTACTAGTCATGGTAATTAATTGATTAATTATCTCTCATGTTCAATTGTTAATCAACTTCATATAATTATTTTTTATCAATTATCATTCAATTTCCATTGAACTCCAGATAAAAATTCATATTAATTTCATAAAGATATAATTACAATTATTTGTACAATTATTTGTAATCAGTGTAATTAAAAACGAAGCAAAATAAGAATTGAGAGGAGAAATGATAAGATATCAATTAAATCTATTTCTCATTATCAATAACTGATTTGATTCGCGTGAATTGAATGAGGGAATGAATATTGAGAGGTATTTTTCATGAATGAGAAGTTTTATGAACGATTTTATCTTCAATTGACCGAGAAATTCCCATCAATGGAGATACAACGGAGAATTCAAAAAATTTCTATCAGTGGAGACTCGTGATGTTTGCGAAACGATGCTCTCGTACTTGCTATTCATGGTTCCAAGTTTGCTGGTGAAAAAGTTGGACATCACTGGCCTTGTCGAAAGTTCTGCACCCACTCCCCTGCACCAGAGTGTCCCTCAGTTATCTGGCATGCACTGTTCGACGGACAATTTACGACCTCGCCCTATTCTCCCGAATTTCAAGAGCAACGATTAAGACGAGCCCCGCGATCTGCAATCCTCCAAGATAAATTCTGTTAAAAAGAAGTGTTTTAATTTAAAGAGAAGTTTTAATATTCAGAATGCATACAGCTCGGGAACAAATAGATCACCCACGAAAATTAATTAACAATTTTCAGAATGGACTGCTCTCGTGTCAGGGACATAACAATCAGAAGAATTGACTGGAAACCTTGATTTGTTTACTTTATTGCACACGTTATAAATTAATTCGAATTCTCATAACTTAGGATATAGATTTTTTTTTTACAATTTACATTTAGAGTATTTTTACAGTTTATTGGGTTCATCGGTCCGCTGCAACCGGGGGAACGACCCATCAATGGAGTATCAGAATTGGAGAACAGTTTTTTGTGGATTTACCAGTTTTGTTCTTTCCAATTTGGGTGTGACATTTGTGGGGGAATTCACGTTTTCACGACACTTTGACTCCTTTTTATGCTTTTGTTTGGTGGATCTCGCATTTATTTACCAGAATAGAGAGTGACTCGAGCCCGCAGCTCCTGAAAATTGTAAAAAATCAGATGATGCGATTTCAATTTATCAAATCCATTACTCAATTAATTACCAATGAGTTAATAATATAATTGGTAGCGACTATCTTTATTTAAAATCTTTATTTAAACAAACATTTTAGTATTTGCAAAAATTGTGATGATTTTAGGACTGAAATTTCGCGAAATTTTCAAGAGTCAAAAATTGGATAAGCTGGAGAGATGGATGATGATTTACCTCGGAGCCTGGCAACCCCTTGCTTATCGATGCCAACCCCATG